TGCATATTAGAATTGAGGGTTCCTCGAAGGACAAACTATTAAATTAATGTTTTAGAAGGCCGCATAGCAGCATCCTGGAATAGACAGAGAAATATCCTGATTCGTCGGTCTGATACACGGTACTCGACTCGCCAACTTCTCGACTCGCCGGACACAGCAGGAAAAAGTGCGGTTCTGCAGTCGTTGCCGCAGAATGCTTTCCTGAGGTAGTAAGTGAGTCGTATCAGCATGCCAGTGTTTGCCAGCGTCAGGTGCTTTGAAGCCACCCTTTCTTCGCAGCTGGGTGCTCAGAGCGGCTCCGATCATGTGTTGCTGGTTGGGTCGTGGTCTCTTATGAAAGATTTATCACGGTTTGGAGTTAGCTGTTTTGCCGCGCCGTTACTGCACAGATAATTCATATTTCTCATATGCCATGCGGCTAGGAAAATGTGGTGTCCATGTCTTCTATGTAAATGTTAAGTCGGATGGCAAAGACTCAGAGGTGGATTTGCGATAATGGAGTTTGCAGTAGTCTACAGGGGGCTTCAGAATCGTTATTCTTCCCTCTCAGGAAAGGTCTGTCTTCATATTTAATTTACGAGCTTTTTGATATTCAAACCATGGACAGTCAAAAAGTGGTTTGGATTGGGTGTCTCAGTCTTTGTGGAGGTTTCACATCAGGCAATAATAATATTATATTAATACTCAGAATTATAAAATATTAAAGAGGAGAAGCCCTCAAGCTTCCTCGCATCAGGTCTTCCATGCGCAATCCTTCGTTGCAAGCTCAGGTCTGTTCATGCTTTTTTTGTTTGGGTTTAAAGGATGGTTCTCTTCAGGGCACAGGGTAAGTACAGTAAGTTCTTGCACTTGTGCAGTGGTATAATGGTACTGGACTCGAGAATGCACATTCCCTGTTTGTTCTCCTGGTACTTATACTTTTCTTTAGCGGTTGCCTTTGGAACCATCTTGTCTTGAGATGCTACTTACAGGTTTCTTCGCTTGTTACTTACATCTTCTGAGATTGGGGACTTCATTTGGGACGTTGTGTTCATCTGGTTTCCCATGCAACACTAAGCAACAGCTGTTGGCACTCGCAGGACATACACAGGACAACACATACACACACCCACACACACACACACAGAGTCTGTGTTTCAGCTGTCGGGTTTACACAGGGTGTGGGGTTCCTTTGGGACAAGGGTGGTTAGCAGCTGACTGAATGCAGTTTAGAATCATAGTTATACATGTCAGTTTGAAGACTTAGACACAAGGCCTGGGTCGTCAGTACACATTGCAACGGTCGTTCGGAGTTCGATGGTTCTACTCAGCAGCTTGCCTCTTGTAAAGAATGCTGGGTTTTGTAACCAGACTGTTCAAGGTCGGTTCCTAGGACTGTCCAAGCTCCTTTTCTGTGCACTTTGCATTCGAAGTTACTATGATTTAAGCTAGGAAGCTCAAAAGCGGCACCGCAGGACCACCCCGAAGGACTAGGGACAAATGATGAGTCCATGGTTCCCATGTAGTACTAACGTCGGCCTCACAAAGGTGACTCCGCTGGACTTCGAGTGGGCACACGTAGATCACCGTGGGCAGCCTAGCACTTGCCAGTGTGGAGCAGCAGCACAAGTCAGGCAGACTTTCATCTGAAGCATCATGGTCTGTCGTGGTTGGTGATGCTTTAGGTTTTTTAAAGAAGCCTAGACACAGAATCATTGTTATCATGCCGCTGCCAGAAAGCCCAAGCCACCTGCCACTGTCATCATCATTCCTCTCCCTTTCCTCGTTCTTTCTCGTCGGACATGTCGTCCTCCGGTTCCGCTGACCGAGCAGGACTTCCCCATGGACTCCCGTTTTTTCTTCGCCGTTCCACCGACCCGCAGGACGAGGTCATATTCGATTTTCGTGCGATGGACTATTACCTCGCGTCGGTCTGTGGGATGGAAGACCCAAGTACCATCCTGCAGCGTAATCTCGATTATTGCGAGCAGCTGCCGTCGAACTGTTTGGACTGCCTTCCGCCGGACATTGACTCGCAGGAGGATTTGCAGTGCTTCCTCGCCGATCTGAGCCTTGCGCAGGCATATTATTTCCGCACTGGACAACCCGACAGGATGCCCGAATGGCGCACCGAATGGCTCTCGACTGTCTTTGTACCCGAACACTCGCCGTACGACACGCAGCAGAAATGGGCGGACAGGCTCGTTACACCCATGTTGGTTGTAGCGTGGTTTCTATGAAGGTGCATGCTTTTAAAGCCATATAATATTATAATACATTGATTATTTTCCACAGAGCACATCCCGTAGGCTTTGGTCTTGGCTTGCTGCAACCGATGGACTGCTGTACAAGCGGCCCCCTGCCTTCGCGACACGGACTCCTCGGACGGTGAGTGAGAGAGACTTCTAGATTTTAATAGTTTGTGTTTCTGATAATTGAATTGTTCCCTAGCAGGAAGGACGACGGCTGGCAGATACTCGTCGAACACATGCAGGGCGATAAAATGTTGGAGTGTGGCACTCAGCTATGACATCAGCGCACTCAGTCATTCAAGCATTCCAGTACTTGCACTTGTGTGTGTGAGTGGTTAAACACGCAGCACCCACTGCCGGTCCAGGCTCTGCTTCAAGCAGATACTCGGGGCGGCCCAGCGCAGGACAGACAACGCCCTCTCCGCCGGACTCCATTCCCCGCTGTTCGGTTCCCGACACCCGCAATCGTGGATGGTCGAGATGCTGAACCGCGACTGGGAGGCCTACCCGGTGGCCGTCCCCGTTCCCTGGCAGGGCCACATGTACTACGCGGTGTCGTCGCACAACGCGTCGGACTTGTACTTCTGCATCACGAAGGGCCCCGACGGACGTGCAACAGCAGAACCAGTAAGATTTTTGTTGGTAAACCTTGTAGTATAACTGAAATACTTACCAAGTCGACAAATTTTCGGACATCGCTGGTTCAGGTGACACGATCGACTTTCAGTGCATCGGACTGTTTCTCAAGAAACTCGAACTTGGACCGGGCTCGTGGAACTAGCCGCAGTTCGTTCAAGCACGACGTACCCGCCGGCCAGTCTCCATTTGGAGTTCTGGAGCAGTTCGCTCTCGCCGGCCAGTCTCGAAGTGACACGTTTTCTGCACTCGGAGTTCAGATCAGTTCGCTCTCGCCGTTCAAAAGAGTTGTCCTGGCACACTTTACATTTGCCGGATGTTAGTTCCTATCGCACTGTTTGCTGACTTAAACTTTTGCGCTTCAGGTTGCTGACATGGACTGGCACCTCTTTGGCGGGGTCCTCGGAGTTCTGGTGCTGCACAGTTTGTGACGATTTGCATCGGCACAGTTGCTGTGTTCTTTCCTGTCACACTCGGAAGCGACAAGTGCTTGAACCACCCGCAGTCACCAGTCACTCGTACTAGGTTTGTCATGTGCTTCATGCATTGCAATTGAGGTCGGTCACTCCTCGTTCGGTTCGCAGGGCACGGCCACACGGCAGGACGAGGACTAAGTCAGGGGTCATGCTTTCGGATTGTGACAAGGCATTCCGCGGACTCTGAGGTAAGTTAGGATCCACCTGCAGCAGACATGGAGCAATTGCCGTAGACATAAAGAGTTAAAGGCCTTTGAGCAATTGGAGTCCGGTTTGTTGCCTGGGTTGCCATTTCAGCATTTCAAGCATCGAGTGCATAGAATCGAGGGTGAGCGGTAAATTTTAGTGTTGGGCGTTACACATTAGATTTGTTGTTTGTGGCTGTGAATCATTAAGGTTAGTTCTGGCCTATTCATTGCGGGTGGTGTCTCCTTAACTAGATCTACTTACAGTGCATGGTATAAACCGATTTCACTTCTGGAAGTTCACCATACTTGTCCACAGAGGGGCTTCGGGTGTGGCTTGATTCAGGAAAATAATCATGAGGTGTACAACTCAGTACTACGACTACTACCACGACTAGTACAAGTACTACTAGCATTGGTACTGTACTACTACTACTACTACTACTACTACTACTAGTACTACTACTACTACTACTAGTAGTACTAGTACGACCACTACCACTACTACCACTACTACTACTACTACTACTACTACTACTACTACTACTACTACTACTACTCCTACTACTACTAGTACTACTACTACTACTACTACCACTACTACTACTACTATTACTACTACTACTACTACTACTACTACTACTACTACTACTACTACTACTACTACTACTACTACTAGTACTAGTAGTACTACTACTAGTACTACTACTACTACTAGCTAGCCAGCTAGCTAGCTAGCTAGCTAGTACTACTATTACTTCTGCTAGCACTACTACGACTACTACTGCTACTTCTAGTACTACTACTACTACTACTAGCTAACCAGTACTACTGCTACTACTACTACTACTATTTCGACTAGTACTACTACTACTACTACTACTACTACTACTACTACGACTAGTACTAGTACTAGTACTACTACTACTACTACTACTACTACTACTACTACTACTACTACTACTACTACTACTACTACTACTACTAGTACACTACTACTACTACTAGTACTACTACTACTACTACTACTTAATACTTCTACTTCAACTAATAGGGACTGCAATTTCGGCCTACTGGTTTTTCCTTTCTTTAATGAGTAGTGGTACTGCTGCTAGTACTACTCTTCGCAATCTGGATTAGTATTGCTACGAGTAATTACTAGACCAGTAGTCAACCAGCTGGAGGAAGGCGCTCTTGCAATCGCTGTTGTCCTGTTCATATGGAGGACACGGACTCCATTGGCCGGCATCGCTGCCGCTGAGCCTTCTCGTTTCAGGCACTGTGCTCTCGTGCGGTCTACGCTTTGTGTCTTGCTTGCCATGTTCGTCCAGTCACAATGCACTGTGAGACCACCCAGCAGCAGGGCTTGATTGATTGTTTGGTTTTCCGAAGCCGTCCTGCCTGTGCGTTGAGACTTCGTGCAGTCTTATCATCCTTCCCCCGTCGTTCTTCCTCGACGGACCTTGCCCAGCATGCCTCGTGATGCCGGCCCCCGCAAGCCCACCCTCAAGCAGCTGGCGAAGCAGAAAGCGAAGGACATCAAGACCCGGGAGCGCAACGAGGCGACGTTCGCATCCGCCGTTCAGCACTCCAAAAGCACCATACTCGACGTGGACATGCGGTTCATTCAAGACACGCTGACCCAGAACCCGACTTGGATTTCTCCACTCGCTGGTCTGATCCGCTCGGGCTCGTTGAATGGTCTTCTGAAGGACGTTGCCAAGAAGGAGGAGACCGGTGGACTGAGATGGAAGGGCAAGTGCACCAAATGGGGCAGTTTGCCGCTTGAGATGGCGAGCTTAATGCTCAAGCATTGCGGTGTGGAGCTCGCGGAGGACGTACAGAAGGACGAACCCGTCGTACGGACCCTCTTCGAGATCCAGTTCTGGGCAGCCAAGTCGGCGTCCTTGCCATCTCGTGCGGACATTCGCTATCAGTCCACGTTGGTCAAGTTAGCGAGGGCCCGCATGGAGGACGTTGGTCGCAACTACATAGCTGCGGTGAACTCGGCGGAGGCTATCAGTGTTGACCGGGACAGGTACAACATCTGGTCACTTGAGAACAACACGTTGTACTGCCACGTCTTTGCCACACAAGATGGACACCCTCGCCGTTCCCGCTCGGAGTTCGTACCCAACGAGTCGTACCTCAGCCACGAGCTTCCTACTCTCCCGGACAACAAGACGTGGCAATTGGACGACCCTTTTGCGGTGGACTGTGTCATTTCAGATGGACAGCATAACTCGTTGTTCAGTTTTGAATGCGCGAGTTTCTTTCCTACTTTGCCGGACATGAAGGCCAAGTGGACCTTCGACTTGTCGTCGGACGCAGACACCACGGCTGGCCTCGGCGACAATGTGCCGCAGGGCACCCCGTCGGTCCGGAGTGCATAATGCACTCTCTCCTGGTAGTTCAGTGTGTCTTGAGTTTGGGGTTGACTTTACTCGTTGTTCTGTCCAGTTTGTTCACTCGAAAAGCACAATGTCGTTCGCCTCGCCGTTCGACCCATTGTGTCTGAGTGAGTGGACAGGCACGAGTTTCACTGGGGCCGTGAAGCCGGCAACTTGCAAGCTGCATAAAAGAATACGTGCGATGAATGGCTGACTGCAATAATGACTTCCTTGCGGTGCCTTGCAGTATGTGCTACATACATGTTGCAGAAGAACACAGACCCATGACACGTGGTGTGAGCACTGCCTTGCGACATCAGCGATTCGTTGCCGCTGTCTTTGGGCTTCCAGAATAAAAGCTGCATGCCTGCAGAGCCTCCCTTTCTCTTGGTTTGGCAGATGTCACATATACTTCCTGGGACATAGCCTATAAAGTTTTGCTACATTCGTTCACCAGAAACAGACTGTAGAATTGATCCACTCGCTATCAGATGCTGGAGCCCGCTTCTGCCGATGGACCCTCTTCTTCAGGACCTCCAGCTTTTTTCAGCTCTGCGTCGGACAAGCGTCGGACAGTTGCATTTTGCATTCCCTGCGGGACACACGGAAGCCTCAAGGGCGAGAGCTACAAGTTCAAAGAGCCGCAGACCAAGGTAACGGATGGACATCGTTTTTGGCACATGCGTTGGTTTGTGGACTTCCTCGGAGGACACGAGTCTCGAAATTTCCTCGCAGGCAGTGTGTCGACGTTCAGGAACAAGCTCTTCACGATTGCATGGCCCTGCTGGACAGACACGGAGGACGCTCTGAAAAAAGAGATCGAGTCGCACTTTCTCCAGAGTTCGTTCTCCCTCCTCAAGCAGCAGGAGCACGCTGCAAACGCCGAGAAGAAGGGCACCAAACGAAAGGCATCCTCGCAGCAGATGCAGGACGACATGGAGGACGACAACGAGCAAGCGGACAATGAGGAGCACACGGGTGACCAGATGGAAGAGGTAGCAGCTGGACGAAGCACACGTTGTACAGAGTTTGCCACGTCGAGCTTTGCAACGATTGTTCTTTTGCATCAATGGCACCAGGGTATGCGCAAAGATGCCAAATGGAAGAAGCCGGCAGAGGAGGTATCCAAGCTGGCCGGGGAGTTGCTTCAAGGCCTCGCTTCCTTGTTCCTGCAGACCCCGCAGGACTTCTCATTCACGTGGGACGGAAACACTCTGGTGCTGCCGTTCAAAGGAGGTTCGCTGGACGTGGACGAGGTTGTACTGCAAAACAGTTTACTTGCTAAAGTACTACACCGCGATCGTTCCCGATTCATGGACGTGCTGCAGGATGTGAATGTGGACTGCACCCGTCGGACAATTGGAGACACTCGCAAGTCATCTAGTTTGAGGACGAAGTACTACTTGTTGGCGGCTTTGGCACGTGCCATGGATTCGTCGGACGACACGCATTCCTGCTGGACATCTTTGAATGTGAAGCAAGTGATGCAGCTTAGGAGAGAGGTTTCGATTCGAGGGTTTGGAGGGTTTGAAGGGTTTGGAGGGTTCCGGGGTTTTAAGATGTAGGGTTGTGTCTTGAAAGCCCGAAAATTGATATTCCCCCTGTTGTTTCAGGAGCACCTCCGGATATCGTCGGTCGTCCACGAGTTTTCGACAAGAGGTTGCGAGTTCATCGAATGCCACACGCAGGACACTTACCTCCACATTGCAAGGACATGCGTTCACCGTGCAGGACAGCAGCGAACAGCAGGACGAACAAAAGATCAAGAAGCACGCTTCTATGGACGCACACAGGCTAGCACGCATGGAGCGATACGCCTATGTCACGCAGGGCAAGTCAGATTTCCTCTCGACGGACATTTTGTGCGTGGTGGCAGATGCAGTGCACGTGGGAAGTGACGATTGGCTGAACATCATGGTGTACAACCACACGACGGACAAAGTTTGGGTCTGCCCGCCGCAGGCGCTTTTTTTTTGTTAAGCAACACATATTTCTGAGGCGTTTTAGGCAAGAGGCGAGGTACGTCAGAGCCTTGCTTAAGTTGACCTTTTTGGGTGCCGTTTTCGTAGCTTCTGGGTCCGACCAAAATCGTTTTTCCGAGGGGAGGTACACGTATCCCCGCTCAGGCTCGGTTTGGGGCGGAGTCTTTCTATTGTATTTTATATAAAGATAGGTACACGTATCCCCGCTGACCCCTGGGTTTCGGGATTGGCCTGATAAAGGCTCCCGGCCGCCCTTCTACTGATGAGTAGGTACGCACAGCCTTGCTTAAGTTGACCGGGTCCCGGGTGGAGGCCGAGGAACGCATTTCGGCCACATTTTGGCTGCATTTCGGCCCCCAAAAAGGTACGCCAGATCCCCGCTTAAGTTGACCGGCCGGTCCCCCAAAAAAGGGCCCCTGGGTGATTATATGGTAACAACCTCTGTCGTTTGTTTTGCATGCTGTTGCTGACAAGCTCTTCCTCTAAGCTTTGCTTCACATTTTTCTCTGTGTAGTCAGACCACGCAGCAGGTCCAGAAATCGTCCGTCTTGTCGGCTGAGCAGTGGAAAGCTATGTGGAACAAGGCTTCCAAGAAGTTCCTCGGGATCGAGAAACCCGTTGGACCTGGTCATGCGGAGGACCGGCTGGCCACACTGTCTTGGATGCAGGACATAAACCACGGCTTGCGACCCATTGGCTGGACTTTTGGCTGCTGCCAGAGCACGCCGGCCGGCCCCGCGGAGGACGACACGAAGGCTAAACGTGCACCGATCATGATTTTGTGCACCGACCAAGAAGCAACACAGCTGGCGGCTGTCTCCTTCTTGAGGAACAAAAAGAGCCTCTGGATCGAACACGTCTCGGACCCCGCCCACAGGTCGCACAACGACGTGGCTTTGGCCTTGTCGGCCGCTGGACTCCTGAAGTTCTGCACATGGTGCATCTCGCTGTACAACATCAGGTATGGACCCTGGCAGAAGGGCTCGTGGGCGTTGAAGATCCAGCAAGCCGCAAATCGCATGAAGGACAACATGGACCCCTCGGACCCGATATTGCTCCTTTTCTTCCCGGACATTCTGCTGGACGCCGGCCTCTCCCCCCTGGACGACAACACGGAGGAGAAACGCAGGTCGTTTTTGCAGACATTACCCGACATGGACTGCATCCGCATCAAGGGCACGAAGGCCAGCAAGAGTCGGTTCAATTCCCTGACGACGGCCCACAGCGCGCTGGACAAAGAGTGGTCGGTCTTGGCTTTAGTTCTCACGGTGGTCTGCTTGGAGCACAACTGGGCAGTTTCCACTAAGGACCTCTTCTCGCAGGACAGCAACCAGGCCCGTGCCTCGGTTCCATATGGTGGAAGCAAGTCTTCTGCCATACAGGAGGCCAAGCAAGGCATGGACCAGGAGCGGAAGGGCAGCGCGAACAGTCTACACTTAATGACGAAGTTCGTGATCTCGCAGGACAACAAGACGACAGCCAGGATGATGTTCCAGGTCTTGCAACCCGAAGAGCTTCGTTGTTCGCTCATGCTCAAGCAGCTGCGTTCCAAAGGCATGACGAAGGACTACTACTCTGGCTGGGCACACTGGTCTTGGATGAGCACTGCAAAGGACCACGTCAGGACTTTGTCGAATTTGGAAGGTTTATCTCGTGTCGGCCTCGACCTGACACTGGCACGCGCACAACCCCCGGACGAGACAGAGCTTGTCTGGCAGGACTCGCTCGCAGGCCAAATGACGCAGTTGACACTACAGATCCTGCGGCTGCGGGCCGGGGCACAGCTGTACCATACTGGAGGTTTCGGTGCGACCGCAGGACTAGTCCATGCTGAAGAGCAGTTCCGTCGGGCAAGCTTGGATTTTTTCAAAGAGATGCAGTCTTGTATCCAGGACACGCACAGTGGTGGTTCTCGTATGGCAAAAATTGCTCGAAGGTCATTTCTCCCAAGGGCCGATTAGTCGGTACATCCTCGCCGATCTTTGCACTACCCGGTTTCAGAGCCTTACGGAGGACGTTGCACACGTATTGACCAGCATTTGGTCGGGCCTCTTGAACACGAAGATCATCGAAGACTGTAATAAAGTCCAGCGCGAGGCCGAGCAACGACATTCGTCTTCGAAGGACTTGGGTCGTTTGGACGGATGGAAGGCTGTGACCCAACAGGCCGTGGTCAAGATGTACGAGAGGGTGGAGGCACTGTCAACGGAGCTCTACCACACGCCGGCAGCGTTTGACGTGGCCAAACTTTTCTGCAAAGACACCGAGAAGAAGAAGATTCAAGCAGTTCGTCGTCGTTCCGATTCGTCGGTCAGCACGCAGGTCAGTGCCTCGGAGGTGCAGGAAGCACAGCTTCTTGCAGACGTGACGAAGACGAGGGACTGGGTCTCCCACAACCACGCCGAGGAACAGGAGGTTTTGGCTGCCTTCAGTTTACTGATGAAGGCGTGGAGGGCCAAGCGATGGTCGCTTTGTGAAGAAGGTTGGTGCTCTGGACTTTTGCCCGAAGGACATGTTGTACTGGCAGGTGCAGACCCGTTGTTCATCGTTCGGACATACCGTTTGGCTGCACTCGCATGGCCCGGCAAGATCGTTAAGGACAAGGACCATGAGTTTTCGAATTCAACATGGGCGTTCGGTCTCTCTTTTGGATGCACAGCACATCTTTGGACTTGGAAGTGTTGCGGCTGCGAGTTGTTTCACCTCTGCGTGCCTCGGCTGCAGTACAGTTGAACATTGTCAGCCCGACACGGACATTCTCTACATATATATTCGTCCTATAATGAGTGACGATGATTGATTGACACGGAAGGCTTCTCCGGTTCAGATTGTAAGTTTCGGCCCGGGGGGGGGGTAGCACTGAAGCTATTTTTTATGGGTTTCTGAACAACTCAGGCGATTCGACAGTCAAGGATTCGAAGTTTCACAGAGTTAGGTTGAGTAGCCCAGGATGGCACGTGCGTCGAGGTTTTGGGTATTGACGAAAGGAGGGTGTGGTTGTGTGTACTGCTACCACTTTTTTGGCCATACTACTAGTGCTAGTACTAGTGCTAGCAGTAGTATTAGTAGTAGTAGTAGTAGTAGTAGTAGTAGTAGTAGTACTAGTAGTACTAGTACTAGTAGTAGTAATACTACTACTACTACTAGGACTGTTGCTGAGATTCCTTCTACTACTGTAAACTACTGCGATTGCTTGTAGTAGTAGTACTACTACTACAAGTACTACTAGTAGTAGTAGTAGTAGTACTACTACTACTACTACTAGTACCAGTTCTACTACTCCTACTACTAGTATTACTACAACTTCTTCTACTACTACTACAACTACTACTGCTACTACTGCAACTACTAGTAGTAGTAGTACTACTACTAGTAGTAGTACTACTACTACTACTAGTACTACTAGTACTATCACTACTACTACTACTACTACTGCTACTACTACTACTACCACTACTACTACTACTACTACTACTACTACTACTACTACTACTACTACTACTACTACTACTACTACTACTACTACTACTACCCTTTTCGAGTCTTTTTACCAGTCTTCCTAGTGATATCACCGCTTTTTACTGACCAGGCGCAAAACTTAACGATTGCGATCATTTTTTACTAAGAGTGTTGCTGCCGCTACTGCTACTGCTGAGGTCGTTCCACGCAGGGCAGCCACCTCAACAACGGCATCGTGTTTTTGGTGGACAAGAAGATGGGCACGTTGGACTTTCACGCCGAGCAGGGCTTCGCTGCCTGTTCTGAGGCTTTGTTGCGCAGGTTGTGCCAGCACATGGGTTGGACCGCCACCCAACCCAAATCAGGTGTGGACGCAGGACATCAGCTGGCTGTTGCCGCCATGCTCAACATGGACAACTCGTTGGTCGAAGAGGACGTGGTTCAACGAATCCTGGCAAGGCATCAGACTGACAAGTGGATGCCGGAGGTCGACGACAAGGACTTGGAAGCCGTCGTTCGGGACACGCTGCTCATTGGCGAGCAGGACAAGGCCCTCAAGGAGCTCAGTGCCCGTCGGTCCACGGTTTCGGCCAAAAGTCTACGACCCAAGGTATGCACGATGTACAAGAACGCCGTCTCGGACCTGGACAAGGACTTTTGGAAGGCCGGACAGGACACACGCCGACGCAAGACTCAGAAGGCCGAGAAGGACAGCAAAAAGCTAAAGCAGCAGTACGACCGGGTGTACGCAAAGCTGAATGCCACGACGGACGAGCTTGTGAAGAGCATGGTTCCTGATACTGTACAGGTTTGGACGGACCCAAAGAATGGTCGTTGGAAGGTGTCGTACAAGACAGCTGTAGTCAGCATTACACGTAGTATTTCATGGACACAAGTAGGTGAAGCTGCCGCCGGTCGAGCCTGTGTAACACAAGGTTGGTCATGGGTGGAGCACCACGAAGGACGTGATCCACCCGAAAACTTGCAGGAGCGATTGACAAGGTTCGACTCCTGAGTTCACTCGGACTTGACATGCCCGTGATTGGACTTTTTCTCCTCGTAGCACATCGTCGTTCAGCATCGATGCACACATTCGTCGGGCCCAAAAGAGGATTATTCCGCTTTGCACGCGTGTTTGATCCGTGCAATTGATGCTTCTAGTCAGACTTCTGTAATGCACTGCTACGTGTGTGAGACAGTGGCGGTGATGTGGGTTCAAGTTCAGGAGCATGTCGTCCATGCATTGAGCACGTATTTTAAGTAGGCCAGACATGTACTGATATGGCGAGCCAACGCGCCCTCACTCACCTTCTGTGTAACTTTCCCCACGGACACACAAGATAATGAGTAGTCATGTAGCGCAACTGGAAATTGTACCAGAAATGTTTGTACTTGAAACCTAGGTTGTTATTCTCGGTGGGAGTCCATGAGAATTCAGTTTTGTTGAAATAAATGGAACGGAAAGAGTCTCTGTACATGTCTCGACTCGTGGTTCCATCCTCGAAGTATTACTCGTGCCATGGTGGCCCGGCCGAAGTTACAGGAGGTGGGACTGTCACGACGACCCTCGGCATACGCGCTGTTCATGCAGGACATGTGCAAGGACTCTGTGGACCCCAAATCTCGTCGTCGACTGTCCCGGAAAACATCACTTCGCGGTTCAATACATTATCTGCACAAGTGGCTTCTTGGCTGCAAAATCAATATAGATTAGTCACACTGACACATGTGCCCCTTGCCTAGAACCCCAAGTCATCTGAAGCCACGGGAAGTAAAATCTTGGCAATTCTGGTCAGGAACCCGAATATGCCATCTTAGCTACGTACCAAAGTTATTTACTTCAGACATAATTAATAAGATGTAGCTAAAAGTCCTAATACAAGTCATGTTACTTTTTACTCGGGGATTACCTTTTCACCCAATCGTCCAGTAAAATTCCTCTGTTCCCCGAGGCACAACCGAAAGGACCTCCGTGACGAGTACACACGCAAGGCCAGGCAGGGCTACCAGGAGAATCGGGTCCAACGCGAAGAATTTCGACAGGCCAAACACACGGAAGTTCCCCCCGCTTCGTTCATGGACAGAGAACTGCCGGACGTCGCAGAGTCGCAGGACTTCGACGGTCGTGGCATTTTTCGCTACACGGCCGAGGACCCACTGGTGCAGGAGAAACATATGGGTCGCGGCACGTACGGGGAGATTTTCGCTTGCACGTACCAGGGCCTGAAGTTAGCCTTGAAAGTGGCCGTTCGCACGCCGGACAGGGAGACTGCACTGTTGGACGTGCACCAAGACGGTCTCGAAAAGACGTGGGACTTGACCCGTGAGTTCACTCTTTTGAGCCAGATAGGACCTCATCCGAATGTTCTGCGACTCTATGCCTTGCTGACATCCTCGACTGGGCACACGGGAATTCTAATGGAGCGGGCTTCCTGCGACCTCTTGAAGGCCACACGGGACTTGAAGACCGACGACCTTCAGGACGGAGTTCCCTGGAGCACACGACGAGCCCAAGTAACGACGTACTTTCGGCAGACACTCGCAGCTCTTACATTTGTGCACAGCAAAAACATCGTACATTTGGACGTGAAAACGAACAACTTCCTCGTGTTTCTCCTCGGCGAGCGGGTGGTGCTGTCCGACTTTGGTTTTTGCCGAGCTTTGCCACTCAATGGAAAAGCAAAAGTCAGAGCTGACGAAGTCTACACGACGTACTACCGGCCGATCGAGTGCCTTTACTCCGGGGACGGCAAGGCCTGGACCATGAATCCTAGTCGAAGAAAGTTGAAAGTAGTAAGCCCGGTGCGTATGTTCATTCTAGTAACACTTTATGATTTTGCGGATCTGAACTGCAGGACCAGATCAACCTCAGGCATTCCCGGATCCAACTGATGTCATTACTACTAGCAAACTCGCAATGGCCATTGTAATTGAAAACTTGACACAAAGATCTGATTCTTGATTCATAGAAGAGTCATGTCAGCACATGCAGTCGTAGACTCAGCTTCTTAGTCAAAGACATAGCCTGAAAAACTTCATATCTTGCTAGTAACAGCCATGTCTTTAAGAATTGACTTGTTTTTTGGCAGGAAGTATGACTATGTGTTTCATTTTGTTGTCGTTTCCCTTAACTGCTCAGCAGCTTCACTTTGATGAAAGAGGTGGAGATCGCCCCGAAGGCGGACATGTGGGCACTCGGTGTGGTGACGTGGGATTGCTACGCGAAGACGACACGCTCGCTGTTCACTCCCGACCCGAAGGGCTTCGTCAAGCACACGCCGACCATCTCACAAGCGCTCGTTCGTTTCCAGACTGCATGGCGCGAGAGAGCACGCGACCTGCACTTGCTGGACGACGACATCGCTGCACACGTTTTCGGTTCATGCTTCACATTGGAGCAGGACAGGCGCAGCTCACTCGATTTGTTGAAGGATTTGCAGGGCCGTTTCACGAGGACAATTCAGTCGCTGGACGAAGAAGAGGAGCCGTAGCAAGTCCCCGGTGTACGTAATGCTATAACTTTCCAACGTGTCTTTCGCAAAGTATGATTTTATGTCAGACAAGAGATGACGAATGTTGTCGCCGGTGGACTCGCCCGTGCAAGTTTTGCATGACACACGTTGTTCGATGACCCGATGTTTCGAATCATTGAATCAGTTCATTGAATCTCGTAAGAGAATTAACTTAAGAAGATTGCAGAAAACCAGAATAATGTATTAGACTTTGTGGTTGGGTTCTTTTTGTTCAGTTCCCCGCTGTCACACGATTGACGACCGACTTGTGCATGTCAAGGACGGCCCTTCGGCAAGGATAAAAAGGGCCGCTCATTCTGCCATTTGGAATCTGTAGGTTCTACAGAACATGTACATGCAGAGGCGTGTCTGAAGTCCTAAGGATAATACACCGCTGTTCCCCCACACTCCTTGGCTAGATGCTTTCCATTTCCATGTTGCAGGCCCTGGGGCAGAGGCCACACCCTTCTCACTCTGGCAGCGACACACGGAGCACTTCAAGGACGGTTTCGGCCGCACAGTTCAGTGCAGTCTTGGATGGAATGTTCAGATGTCCTATGTTTTGAAATGCTGCTTACACTATGATGTTAGTTCGTTCTTGTTGAATGTGGTTTTAGTTTTCGGTTGGACTAGTCGCAGAGAGGCTCCCAATGGATTTCTTTTACTGTCGATTTGGAAAGCTTTGTTTTTCAATGTTTCTTGCTGCTGCTGGAAGAATGGGGTCAACCTTTCCGACCTGGTTTCATGATGGTCTCCAGAGAGCCAAGTCAGTCTTCTGGCTCCAGAACATCATCTGAACAGTGCAATGCAGGGGCAGCTATACTGATAAAAGCACGTCGTTCAGCAGGATTCATAAAGAGCATTATATAATTGGACGAGAGGCCGGGGCTTGTGTTCGGAACGCCTATACCTATCGGCAAACTCATCGTCTCCCGGTTCCTTAGTCCTGCTTCCTGAGAGAACATCTGGCACTCGCTGTACAGTACACGTAGCTTACCCATGGCTTTGCGGCGAGCGTTGCAGTTCCAGCCGGAGGACTTACCCACGCCGGACAGACCCCATCGCCGTACTGCAGAAGTGGTGAAGCAAGTCGAGGTTCATATTCCGAAGTACAGCCTGCAACACTTTCCACGTACCCTGCCGGCGCATGCAACACGCACGAAGGACTTGTTCAGGCTCTGGGTCAGGAGGCTCGACCCCGAGGACGTGGCATACTGTCAGGACTTGGTGCGTGAAAGCACGCTCCTCGATGGACAATACGGGTCGATCTGCAGTGGGATGGACATCGCTGCGACGGTCATGAAGCATGTCTGGGACTGGGCACGTTTCCACTGGGAGCTGGACTCGCCGGCATTCACTCACAAGTTCGCCTGCGAGAAGGAGCCCGCCAAACGCCAGTTCCTTTTGACGACGGACAGGAAGATCGAGCGCATGTTCTGTAACGCGACGGACCTGGAATATGACAAGTAAATCTGGGACTCGAAAACGAACACGTTCGTGCGCATGCCACGCTGTACGGTCATGACGGCGGGCTTCCCATGTCAGGATTGTTCTGTCCTGAACCCGTCGTCGTCCACGTCGTCCAACAGATCCTGCGTTGCCGACGGCACTCTTCGCACTGGCTCCGTGCTGCAGGGCATCGTTCACTACCTGCAGTCGACGGGCCTCGTCGGACCGAATTTCTGTTTGTTTGAGAACGTCGCCGGACTGAAGACGAAGACCCGTAACGCCGACGGCAGCACTGGACCCTCCAACCTGGACCATGTCGGACACTTGATCAGCACAAAGACAGATCGTTTGCTGCATGTCTGGGAGTTGGACCCACGAATGTTCGGTGTTCCACAAAGTCGAAAGCGGCTGTGGATGACAGCCATTCCACGCCGGATCTTCGAGGGACTCCTTCCAGAACACGAAGTACAAAAGATGCTGAACAGCATCATGGACACACTCCTG